ACCGACATGTCCCAGCTAATCTCACAAACATTTTGCCACATTCTGAATTTACCTTGTATTCGAGCGTCAGCCTAGAGCAGTGGTGGCCAAACTGTGGCACGTGGGCCGCAAGCGGCTCACGGGGCCACCGAGATGCGTCCACCCCTCCCCCCACCCCTCCTGAACATTCCCACAAGTCTAGGGTAAGTCTGTGTTCGATCGATAGTGTGTTTTCAGTTTTATCTTGATTGGATATTTCTTGATTTATGACACAAATCAATAAATATTCAATCAAGAAAATGTATCTTGTTGGCCACACCTGGCCTAGAGTTCGAGCTCAGAGTCCCGATGTGGGGCTTGAAACCGCATCCTTCTGATTGCGTGAGGTAAGAGTGCAACCGACTGAGCCAGTCTGACACCTCAAACCCACGCAGCTGCTCTTCTCTTACTTGCTCTTGCTATCCTGATGCACCTCTGATGGATCAAAGGCTGTGTTATGAATTCAGCACCCATGCCCAAACATGACCCACATCAATATCAGGAACAGTGCTGATCGGTTAAATGACATATTCAATTAATTCTCAGAGTCCTAGTGTTGCTCATCATAAGCTCAGTAAAGGCAGCATATAAATGGCTTGTAACAAATCCTATACAAAAATTATAGAAGACTCAACGACTTTGATACACCTGAGCCGTGGCTTTCTTCAGACTGAAAAATTCAAATTTTCTGATTCCAAATGAAGTTTCTTTTAAGAACCATATCCATCCCCATGTTATAATTACAAGTACAACATTTTTATTGATTGTGTGAACAATATAAATAAGGAATCAGAACTCCCTAAATAATGCTGCCTTATAAAAAATTCAGTGCTTCTGCATTTATATGTTATTGGGATTGAACACAATTAAATTAATAACATATTTTGTGTCAGAAAAGTGCTGTGTCTGATAACAAAAATAAAGGATAAGAGGATCCAGGCATTATTCCTTTCATCTTATAATGCATTCATATTATTGTTGGAGAATGGATTCCATAAAAAATCATTCTGAGAGAGAAGGAAAATGGGTGCATAAATGTTGTCACAGATTTCTCTCCTCTGTTCCCAATCCATCAATCTGTGGACCACGGAGAATAATTTTTGGATTTTATATAGTGCCTTATCACATTGTCGAGACTTCTCAAAGCACTTCGCAATAAAGTATTAAAGACTGTGTATTTTGAAGGCGAAACATGGCAGCCAGTTGCGCACAGCAATGTCCCCGAAACAGCCATGGAGTGAGCGACATTTGTCTTAAGGTGGGTTTTGAAGGTGGGGAGGGAGGGTCAAGGCGGGTGAAGTGCCAGAAAGGGGGGTGAAATGGTTCCAAATGGCGATTTCAGGCAGACACCAGGAAGTATTTCTTTACCCGGAGGGTAATTCACAACCAGAACAGGGTTTCCAAGAAGGATGGTTGAGGCCAGGACACTGGACTCATTTAAGAAACAGCTCAATGCTGCAGTGGGAGGGCAGTAAGATTGATGTAGGAGTAATGTAAGGATGAGATCAAATGGGCTGGACAGCCTTCTTCATCCAAATATCTGTTGTGACCTTGTGTCCTATTCTAATTCACCTCCCACTGAGTGAGGTATAAAGGTCCAGCAACACATCTCTTTGACTGAGATTCCAAAGCCATGAATCTATGGAGTTCTGTAGCTCAGTGGTTAGAGCGCTCGCCTCGCAAGCGAGAGGACCTGGGTTCTTAAATTCGAACCTAAAGTTTGATTCCCAGCAGGGCGAAACATTGGGCAAGTTTCCTTACTCCACACGCCTCTGTCTACCAGCAGTAAGTAGGAACCCAGTTGTTAGTTGATTGGCGGATCGCTTTTCTGGGGGTAATGATCACTTCAAAATAAATACATAAATACAAATAGTAATAATTTGGTCACTCGATCCACGACTGTGTGGGACGCTGCTGAGTGCAATTGGCTGCTGCGTTTCACCCACAAAATATGCAGTCGGTTCACTTTGCAGAATATCCTGTGAAGCGCATTGAGACGTCTCGAAGTATCATATCAAGTGCGAGGATTATTAGTATTATTACCACAGGGTTGAAGTGTTTTGTTTTGAGATGCTCTGCGTGGAGTCCCCTCCGTGAAACAGTTAGCTGCAGTTATGATTTCCAACCAGGAGGTGGCAACCTTTTGCCTTATTTTAAAAAAAAACTTTTGAAAAGGAAAAAAGACTTTGAAAAAGCGAAGGTCTGATACGGTGCGTTTTAATCAGTCGATTTTTTTTTAAGCTACAATATTTACGTCAGCTTAAAGCGTTTCGCTAATCCTTCAGTTTGCTTTGGAATCCTCGTTTCGCCCACAAAACATACAGTCAATTCACTTTACAGTAAGTTCTGTGAAGCGCTTTGAGACATCTCGAAGGCGTGAAAAAGCGCGATATCAAATGCAAGGATTATTATTATATTATTATTATAAGGACAGTTTTGATTCCTTTTGTGGTTTTGCCAGGGTTTTACATGACGTCCTGCTGTGTTGGTTAAGTGAGAGTATTGGGTTTGAGAAAGGGATGGAAAATATCAGTTTGGTTCGGTTGGTAGCACTTTCACCTCCAAGTCAGAAGATTGTGAGTTCAAGTCCCAGAGTTGTTGGAGCATGTGTTCTACTATATGCTTGTCCCCCACATGAATCCTCGACTGAACAGGCTATAAGGAGTTGTAAATGATTACTATTCAATAGAGGTATCTGCAACTTAATCTTATTTCCTTGTCTATCATCATCCTTGTCATCATCATTGTCTACCAAGCTCCCTCTTAAATATTTCAACCCATAATCTACAATCACTGGGACCACGAAGCAAATACCACATTTCCACAACGATTTGTGTGCAAATATGTTTTCTGATTTCCCTCTTAATTGGGTTTAACTCTAGTTTTAAGATTCGGTTCCCTCTTTTTTGTGGTTTGCCTTTGCTTATTAAACAATCGCACTTATTTCACAATCTCCTCAACAGTAAATAAACAGTTATTTCTTGGGTCTTTCCCCAGAACACAGTGGCAAGCCAAGCCAATTGGTTTATAGACCAATTAATTAATTCCATTTGTTAGGACAGCAAGTTGTGAGGCAGCTGTCAAAATGACTACATTACACTGATATAGCTAATAATATCATGCACCAACTGCAGGATCTTTCAGGATCTTAATAACTCACCCATCTGCTCGTGCTTCTTATCTGTTGCTAAAGTGACTATAAATATTTCAGTTCTGCTAGAAATATAGATTTTTTTAAACAAGACGTATCATTTGAGATGTAGAGATAAGGCCATCTTTCGAAAAGAGCTCGCACTTTTATCATCTTGAAGACGTCAATTTGCTTTTTTGTATAGGATAACAATATCCCATGTGAAAAACAAGTTTTAATATTTATTTCCAGATCATCAGTTTACGCTGTTTGACTGTGTCATTAATTAGGTTCAAGCTACTTTGTGAGCCTATGGAAGGTTCATATCCACCCTCTTTGCTCTTTGCACCCTCCTCAAGGTGAAATTCCACATTTTGCCTAAGTTCTGGACTCTCTCAAATACTAATAATCCTTGCATTTGATGTAGCGCTTCATCACTTTGTCGAGACGTCTCAAAGCACTTCACAGAATATGCTGTAAAGTCAATTGGCTATATTTTGTGGGCAAAACGCGGTAGACAATTGCACACAGGGGTGTCCCACAAACAATCGTGGATTGAGTGATTAATTTTTTTTAGAAAAAAGTACGCTAAATAAGGTGAGTAAATCCAGATAATTTCTCCCCGTCCATTCAAATTCATGCCCACCTGAGGTGATATACTTCACCCACCCCACCCACCTTCCCCCTAGACATCCTCCTGACGTGAAAGGCATTTGTAGAAAGGCCATTTGTGGTTCCAGTGCTAAGGGTTTATTGCGGTATCCGCGCTCCGAGATGGATAGAACCCTCCTCGTCGTACAGGACGCGAGAAGAAGAAAAACGCAGCGTCTGCAGCATCCGCAGGCGACATCTGGGTCGCCCTCCCTCCCTCCTGGTCCCTGCCAGCATCCCCTCCCCTCCCTCCCTGGTGCCCTGCCAGCACCCTCCCTCCCTGGTGCCCTCCCTCCCCCCCCTTCCCTCCGCATCCCTCCCCTCCCTCCTCCCTGGTGCCCTGCCAGCATCCCTCCCTCCCTCCTGTGCCCTGCCAGCATCCCTCCCTCTCTCCCTGGTGCCCTGCCAGCATCCCTCCCTCCTCCTCCTCCTGGTGCCCTGCCAGCATCCCTCCCTCCCTCCCTGGTGCCGCCTCCCTCCCTCCTCCCTGGTGCCCTGCCAGCATCCCTCTCCTCCCTCCTCCCTGGTGCCCTGCCAGCATCCCCCTCTCTCCCTCCTCCTCCCTGGTGCCCTGCCAGCATCCCTCCTCCTTCCCTCTCCCTGGTGCCCTGCCAGCATCCCCCTCTCTCCCTGGTGCCCTGCCAGCATCCCCCTCCTCCCTCCCTGGTGCCTGCTGCATCCCTCCCTCTCTCCCTGGTGCCCTGCCAGCATCCCTCCCTCTTCCCTGGTGCCCTGCCAGCATCCCTCCCCCTCCCTCCCTGGTGCCCTGCCAGCATCCCCCCCTCTCCTCCCTGGTGCCCTCCTCCTCCCTCCCTCCCCTGGTGCCCCTCCCTCCCTCCCTGGTGCCCTCCCTCCCTCCCTCCCTGGTGCCCTCCCTCCCTCCCCCTCCCTGGTGCCCTCCCTCCTCCCTCCCTGGTGCCCTCCCTCTCTCCCTCCCTGGTGCCCTCCCTCCCTCCCTCCCTGGTGCCCTCCCTCCCTCCTCCCTGGCCCTCCCTCCCTCCCTCCTGGTGCCCCCTCCCTCCCTCCTGGTGCCCTCCCTCCCTCCCTCCCTCCCTCCCTGGTGCCCTGCCAGCATCCCTCCTCCAGATGTGGTCCATGTGCCGCCGGGAAACCTCCCGTCGCCATGGCGACGGCTGCCCTGGCGACCGGGTCACGTGAGGCCGACCACCCCAACCCGGAAGGGCGGCCGGTCGCCATGGTGACGGCGTCTGTTTGTGGCTGAGGGCGGATGGAGCCGCTGAGAGCCCGGGCCAGGAGGGGCTCCTCTGGTGGGTTTGTGTGGGCGCAGCGTTTGCAGCCGATAAACTCCAGTGGGTGGGGGTTTGGGGGGGGTGGGGGGTGGGGGGGCGGTGGTGGGGGTTGGGGGGGCGGTGGTGGGGGTGGGTCTGGCGGGGGTTGGGGGGGCGGGTGGGGGGTTGGGGGGGCGGTGAGTGGGGGGGGGGGGCGGTGGGTGGGGGGTTGGCAGGGGGTGGGGGTGGGGATTGGAAAGGGGTCTTTAGAACATTGCCCCCCCCCCCCCCGAGTGGATTCATAAGCCACTGTTTGCTCAACTGCCGCCGTGTGCTTTTATTATTATTATTATTTGGGGGGCTGGGGGGGGGGGGGAGTTTCATGGCAGAAAAGGACTGAATTTCACCCCCACCCCCCAACCCCAACCCCACCCCACACACACACACACACAACAAAAGAAAGAGAAGGGAGTGAGACTCTGACCCTGACCCCCCCCCCCACCCACTGTCACTTTTGGGGGTGCGCTCAACCCTCAGCAGTCGGGAGATGGAGGGGAACAAAAATGATGACCAGCAGATTACTTGATCCATTATTTCTTAATAACGTCTGATCGATATTGTCCAATGTCCTCTAACTGTTCCTTCTGCTTTGGCTGAATGTCCCCACGTAACGCGCTGTCGATTGCCGCATTGCTACGAAGAGCGTATCTGTGTTTGTGCCCTTACATTCATTGTACTCGTGTGTTGTGCATTGTGTGTGTTTTGTTGTGTATTGTGTATTGTATGTTTTGTGTTGTGTATTGTGTGGGTTGTGTTATGTGTATTGTATGTTGTGTGTGTTGTGTATTGTGTGTGTGTGTGTGTGTGTGTGTGTGTTGGTGTGTGTGGAAATTGATATCCTCCTATAGACAATAGGAGCTATGAAATGTAGGGTGAAACAATTATGGCTAACAGATTGCTTAAACCATTATTTCTTAATAACGTCCTCCTCTAATTGTCCGGTTACTTTACTGAATGCCCCCACGCTCTTTTTTTTAAACCTTTGTCAGAGTAGATTCCCACAGGAGAAATTTGACCATCCGGCATAACCCAAATCCAGAACTAGGGATTTTAATGCATCTTTTAGGAGTGTTAAAATCATCCTAAACCACAGCATAAGTTAATTGAATGACCATTGATTTATAAGTGATTTGCAGAGCTTCAATCAAAACCGTGACAGGCCCTGATATCTGACTGTTTCGTGACTGTCAAGTAAACGCTCGTTGAACTGGTGTTTAATAGAAAAAGATAGTCCTTGCATTTGATTGCAAAACTCTTCTTGGGTGTAGTTGCTGTGAAGGGCAGCGGTTGTGTTTGTAGGAAAATGAAGCAATTATTTTCTCCACATCCAGTCCCGCAAACAACAACGATATTAATAATCCTTGTTATCGCCACTCTCTTCCAGGAACACCTACCTTGAAGAAGTTCTGCTCTTCCCTGCAACGTGACTTTCATTCTTCCGTTTTACCCTGCTCATCATTAACACCTCTTTAGCTCATCATCCCCTGTCCTCTACCCCATTTTCTCCTTTGTCTTCTTTGCCCGGCCTCCCCCCTCTTTGTTAGCCCTTAAAAGCCTCTCCCTCCCAACATGCCCCAACTCTGCAGCTCGTGTACTCTCGCGTACCAGGCTCCGCAACCCCATCACTCCCACCCTCGCCCGACTCCACTGGCTCCCCATCCCCCAGAGGATCGAGTTCAAGATCCTCGTTCTCAGCTTAAAGCCATCCATGGCCGTGCTCCCTCCAACCTCTCTGACCTGCTGACTCCCTACCAACCTGCCCGCTCCCTCCGCTCATCGGGCTCCGGTCTGCTCCGTGTCTCCTGCCCGACCCGTCCTACCATCGGTGGCCAGGTTTTCAGCCTCTCTGCCCCCAGACTCTGGAACTCCTCGCTTCCTCCCTTGCCTCCTTCGAGGCCGGTCTCAAGACCCTCCTCTTCGATCGTGCCTTCGGTTGCCCTCCCACCTCTCTGCCTTCCCTCACCCCTACCCCACCCCTCCCCCATGCTCAAGCCCTGACCCCTGACCCGCCAGTGCCTTGGGACGTTCTCCCGATGTGAAAGGTGCTCTATAAATGTAATTTTGTTGTTCTTGTTGTACATAGCATCTTAACACTTCTTCAAAACATCTCAGAGCACTTTAACAGGATTTTTACTGTGAAGTGTAGTGGCTATGACGTCCTACTGACGTGAGAGGCCCTCAAATGTAATTTGTGGTTGTTGTTGTGCATTTGGTAGGCAAATGAGTTGAATGACCAATTTACCTGGGGGACAGTTAGCCAAGATACAAGACGATCCTCTCTTCTTTTTGCAAGATCCTTAACATAATGTCCTCCTGACATGAAAGGCGCTACACAAATATACTTTGTTGTTGTTTTTGTTGTATTTTCCTGACTGGGCAGATAGGATCTCGGTTTAACATCTTATCCGAGGCACCCTATCAACATTGCAGTGTTGATGCTCGTTGTGCTGGATTATGAGCTTCAAGACCTAATATGGGCTTTAATCCAGCGCCATAAACCTTCTGAAGCAAGAATGCCACCAACTGAGAGAGGCTGACACTCATTAAATTAAATACTCCTGGAGCAATAGTAAACTGTAGCAGTGCCTACAAGCGATGGTTTATCGTGGAGTGGGCTGTGATTGAACCATTAACTTTGAGAATCAATTATTTTATTGTAGCGAGTTTGCGGGGATCATGAGACATGAAAGACATTAGAACTGCTCTTTCACCGTAAGTCTATTCTTCATTTCTGTTCTGTAATTTACTTAATGTAGTGCGGAAATATTAAAGACAGATTTAAAGTCCTGTGATGCTGCTGTGAGAAGCAGCATGATATATTATCCCATTCACATGTTTCTTAATAACCATTTTCTCGAATAATGTATTTTAGATCAGCAGTTTAGGCAACAAATAGAAGTCTTTTCATTCTAATTTCATGCCACAAAGACAAATTGTGTCCTGCTGCTGCTGTGTGTGTATGTGTGTTTTTTAATAGATATACAACACTTGTAATGAATGATGGCTATTTCTGTGTGTTTGTTTTACCATAAGAGAAAGAAAGAACTGTATTTTTGTAGTGCTTAATCGCAAAGGAATGCCTCAAAGCGCGTCAAAATAATTACCGTGAAGACTGTATTTTTTGTGGGCAAATCCAATCTATTTAGGTGGACATTAAAGATCCCATGATATTAGCGGAAACGAGTATCTCCCAGTGTTGTGGCCAACAATCCATTCACTTTATGGCTATAGAACGGGATCTTGCTGTGCTGTTGGGTTTGTTTACAAATTCACAGTCACTACATTTGACGATAAATCATTTCTTCGTCTTTCTGTTTTTAGGAATATTCAGATCAGTTTGCACAAGTGACAAATTGTCTTAAATTAGCACTTTTTTATACAGAAGAAAACATCTAACGCTATTCATTTCGTCACTTTCGTTGCTGCAGACATTCCACTGAATATTTCTTACCTTGTCATACAGAATGGGCTTTAAGCGCTTCAAACCAAGAAAATGTCAGAAAAGAGAAGCGCGAGGAAAAACGTACAGTTTGCAAACAAGAAAGACAAGCCCAATACACAGGCCAAGAAAATTGAGAAAGCTAAGGAACTGACAGAATCACAGAAGGAAGAACGGACACACAAGCAGAAGGTGGTACATGCTCTGAAACTTGAGGAAATCAATGAGCAGAAACAGCAACTGGAAAAGAAGAAACAGAACGAAATTATTGGGCAACTCAAGGCAGCTGAATCTTTAAACAGGATAGGAGCCATGCGCTTGCGGTTCAAAACCATGAGAGTAAGTCAGATACCATTCTTACACTGTGAGCATTCACATCTTGACTCCCCCACCCTCCCGCCTCAACAACAAATTACATTTGTACAGCTCCTTTCATGTTAGAGCACTTGCCTTGCAAGCCAGAGGACCTGGGTTCGATTCCCGGGCAGGGCCAAATGCTGGGCAAGTTTCCTTACTCCACACGCCTCTGTTTATCTAACAGTAAATAGGAACCCAGTTGTTAGTCGATTGGTGGATTGCTTTTCTGGGGGTAATAATTACTTCAAAATAAATGTTAAAAATAATTTGGTCACTGAATCCACGACTGTTTGTGGGACACTGCTGTTTGCAATTGGCTGCCGTGTATCACCCACAAAATATACAGTCAATTTACTTTACAGTGTATCCTATGAAGCGCTTTGAGACATGATAAGGCGCTATATCAAATGCAAGGATTATATATTATATGAACAAGAAAGGGCAGACATGCTAAAGAACAACAAATAGAGGTTGGGGAAATGGAATAACAATAATAATAATTATTATTATTATAACAGTCATGGATTGAAGTGACCAATTCCTATTATTTTTTTGAACGAATTATTACCAAAAAGCAATCCAGCAATCGAATAATAACTGGGTTCCTGCTTACTGTTAGGTAAACAGTGGCGTGTGGAGTAAAGAAACTTGCCCAACGTTTCACCCTGCAGGGAATAGAACCCAGGTCTGGTTTGCGAGGCGAATGCTTTAACCACTGAGCTACAGAACTCCATTTCTGGGCCTCGCTGGCTGATCCAAGCACAAGAAAGATTAGAAAGGATGATTAGAGGATAGAGACAGGAAGATTTTCTTTACCCAGAGAGTAAATAATAATAATAATAATCCTTGCATTTGATATAGCGCTTTTCACGTCTTCTAGACGTCCCAAAGCGCTTCACAGAATATACTGTAAAGTGAATTGACTGTATATTTGTGTGCGAACGCGGCAGCCAATTGGGTAACAACAACAACAACAAGATTCCATTTATTGAGCGCCTTTCACGTCGGGAGGACGTCCCAAGGCGCTGTACAGTTGGGTCAGGACCTGAGGGGGAAATGGGGGAAATGGTCAGGGTGAGGGGAGGGAAGGGAGGGAGCGAGGAGGGGGTAGAGAGTCGAGAGGTAAAGCAGTGTCCCACAAACAGTCATGGATTGAAAATGACCAATTTATTATTGTTTTGTTTTTTGGAGGGATTATTATTAGGTGTGTGGAGTAAGAAAACTTGCCCAAGGTTTCGCCCTGCAGGGAATTGAACTCGGGTCTCTCGCTTGCAAAGCGAGTGTCAGGAAGGGTGGTGGATGCCAGGACATTGGAATCATTTGGAAAAGCAGCTCCATGCTGTAGTGGGAGGACAGGAGAGTGGGTGTTGTGGAGAGTTGAGACCAGATTGCCCAAAAGACCTTTGTCACCTTTCCTGGTGTCCTGGCCGACAATCCCCCAAATAAAATTGGTCACTCACTTTATTGCTGTTTTTGGGACACTGCTGTGTCGCCCACAAAATATATCCTGCGAAGCACTTTGAGACATCTCAACAACGTAATAAGGCACTGTATCAAATTATTATTATTTTTATTATTATCTGAACCAATCTTATGATATAAATTTTTGTACACTTGAATACTTATCAGCTAATTTAATACCGCAATCTTGATTTCAGAAGACAGATGCCTCGTGTGTTGCAAACTGCACAACGATATTTGGCTGGCCTTTAATAATCGTAATAATAATAAGAATCCTTGCATTTGATATAGCGCCTTATCACGTCATTGAGACGTCTCAAAGCGCTTCACAGAATATACTATAAAGCGAATTCACGGTGTATTCTGTGGGTGAAATGTACTGCCAATTGCACAAAGTTACCAAATGATGCAAACCTCAGCAGGGCTTGGAAATGCCACACACACACACACAGAAAAAAAATCAGAAGATTGTGGGTTTCTTTTTGCAAAGTGTGTTTGTGTGCCAGAGTGTTTTCGAGGCTGTGACACACTTTTGGGCATTTGAAATAATGGCATAAAGCCACTCAAACTTTCTTCCGGTGGTTTATACATCCTATGCACACACAAACACACACACACACACACCCTTCGAGTGCGGTGTAGCATTGTGAAGGGCCCTATATAAACACAAGCGGTTGCTGTTGTTGTCGTTGTCGCCGCTGTGGTACCTTGATAGAAACAAAATTGAATTGTTTGTTTTCTCATTTTAGGCTGAAGCAATCAATCATATGATAGCATCTCAGCCAACAGCCAGGAAAGCTGTACGACTAGAGTGTCTTCTTCCACCTGTCCAAGAGTATAGAGATCTCAAGGACACACTGGATAAACTGCAGGTACCTTCCTTCACAGGGAGAAATCTTTTGAGAGGGGAGATGGGGGAAGGTGTCAAGCTGCTTTCTCTTGTCCAGAACTGTAGAACCAGAAGACACGGCCTGGGTTTGAAGGGGGGGGTAAATTCAAAACAATTCTGCAGAAACGCTATTTCAAGGAGCGAGTAGTAAAAAAAAAGGCTTTCGAGAGAGACGGTGGAATCAGAAAGTGTTGATTCTTTCAAAAGCAAATTAGCTAGATTTCTTTTAGGAAATAATAATGTGGGATACAGTCACCTCCGTCCACCTTCCCATACCTCGCCCATCCTCTCCTCAAACTCCAACTGTGAGGAGATGCTGGACTTCCTTGAATCTAAAATCGAGGGGATACATTCAGCCACCTCAGCCCCATCCATACCCACCCCCTTCACCTCTCCCTCATGACCCAACCCCACCCATCCTTCGACCCTTTTTCTCCCTCCTCCCTCACCACGACTGTCCGCAAACTCAAACCCACCACCTGCTCCCTCGATCCCATCCCCATCTCCCCCCTCATCTCCCAACTCCACCTTCTGGCCCCCCTCCTGTCCGATGTCATCAACCTCTCCCTGTCCACGGGTTCAGTTCCCACCCCCCGAAAAACAGCCGTCACCCCCATCCTGAAAAAACCTTCTCTGGACCCATCCCTCCTCTCCAGCTACTGCCCTATCTCTAACCTCCCATTCCTCTCCAAGGTCCTGGAACGATTCATTGCGTCCCAGCTCCACTCCTTTCTTTCTTGTCATTCCCTCTTTGAACTCCTCCAAACCGGCTTCCGCGCTGTCCATAGCACGGAAACAGTCCTTGTCAAAGTCACCAATGATATTCTGAACATCTGTGATCAGGACTCCCTTTGTCTCCTTGTCCTCCTGAACCTCTCTGCCACCTTCAACACTGTCGACCACTCCATCCTCATATACCACCTCTCCGCTTTACTCAATCTTCATGGACCTGCCCTTGCCTGGTTCGATTCCTATCTCTCTCACCATCTCCACTTTGTTGCCTCTAACGGTTTCTCCTCCAGCCCCCACACTGTCATGTCTGGCGTCATGACAGTGCGGGGGCTGGAGGAGAAACCGTTAGATGCTCCCCCTTGGTGACATCATCCGCCTCCATCGGGTCAACTTCCACATGTATGCGGATAACACCCAACTCTATCTCTCTGCCTCCACCCTCAACTCTGGGACCACTGCTGTCCTGACAGACTGCCTGTCAGACATCAAGTCCTGGATGAGGGCAAATTTCCTACAGTTGAATGTGAACAAGACTGAGGTCCTCCTGATTGGCTCACGCCAGCGCCTCAGCACCTCAGGCTCTGGCAACCTCAACCTCCATAGTTGCACACTTCAACTCACCAGCCAGTCAGGAACCTGGGGTCGTGTTCGACCCTCAATTGTCTTTTCTTCCCCACATTCAAGCTATGACATGCTCTGTCTTCTCTCACCTCCGTAACATCGCCCGACTCCGCCACTACCTCACCCCTCAGACTCTTGTTCCTGCCTTCATCACCTCCAGGCTCGACTATGCAACACCCTGCTTGTCGGCCTTCCCAACTCCTCTCTCCACAGGCTGCAGATAATCCAGAACTCTGCAGCCCGTGTCCTCTCCCGCACCAAACCCCGTGACCCCATGTCCCCCACTCTTACCCGACTCCATTGGCTCCCTATCCTTCAGATGATCCAGTTCAAGAACCTGGTCCTCACCTACAAAGCCCTCCATGGCCTCGCCCCACCCTATCTCTGCGACCTCCTAAACCCCTACCAACCCGCCTGTTCCCTCCGCTCAGCCGGCTCTGGCCTGCTCCACGTTCCCCCGACCCACCCGCCCCGACCTCAGCCACTCTGCCCCCAACCTCTGGAATTCCATCCCCCAATCACTCCGCCTCGCCCCCTCCTTAGCCTCCTTCAAGTCCCGCCTCAAGACCCTCCTCTTCGACCATGCCATCGGCCATGCCCCTTCCCCTCCCCTCCCTTCTCCCCCCTGACACCAGCTTGTACACCCTCCAGTGCCTTGGGACGTCCTCCTGACGTGAAAGGTGCTATACAAATGTAGTGTTGTTGTTGTTGTTGTATATAGTTTGGGACATGACATGTGCATGCAACTGCCAGGATGGTGGAAGGTGAACTGGATGGACTTTGGTCTTCTTTCGTCTAGCGATTCTTACATTCTTGTGTCACTTTGTGACGTCTTCCTGACATGAAAGGCGTTGTATATAAATGTAACTTGTATTGTATCTAAGATGAAAATGGGTTTCTCCCTCACTCGTTTTTCAGATTCTTCACATTTCTTTTTGCTTTAAAAAACAATTGTGCGCGTGGTTTGTTTTCGCGTGAAGGACACTATGTTACTGTGAATGCTATTTCATTCAATCTTATTTTGTGAAGGACACTATGTTACTGTGAATGCTATTCCATCCAATCTTTTGTGTAGACCCTTTCACTCTGGGTTGCGTTAAAGTAGTAGCTTGCTGTAGTAAATGGGAAGATGATAGGCTGGCTATTCTGGAAGGGTGAGATCAAATGAGCCAAAGGGCCTTCTTCACTTGAACCTCTCTTGTGATCTTGTGACGTGAAAAAAAAAATGGTATGCTTCTTTCGCAGAGAAAACGAGTGGAGAAACTACTGGACGATGAATTGGAGCTGTCCATCATTCGAATCCTCTGATGTGCAGCGAATCATAAACACTGATCCAGTTGAAGCATCGTTGTTTATAGTTATCTGAAAACTGCAGGATGTCTTGCTTATTAATCTAAAATAATATTTATTGACAGATATAATGTGGGGCACATCTGAATGTACTGTACGTGCATATTGGCAGAATAAGCCAGGGCTTGGGGTTGTTTCGTTCTTTGAAATCAGGCGACCAATACAATAATTTCATCTGTCTTGCTTACAGAGATTTATATTTGATTACATAATAGGAGAACGCTATTCATTCCATCAATCAGAGTCTCCAACAGGCTATTCCATGCATTACCTTCTCTATTCCCCCTTCCCTGCCATATCCGTTAGAATGGCTTCCCAATTACCCATGCATCTTTCTGTCGATGCCCTCAGTTGATTCTGCATTTAGGACTCCCTGGGGCATTGCATTCTAAGATCGGGTCACTTTGCAAGATCAATTGATTCCAGCACCAGTGCAAACCTATTTACTTTAAAGGTTGGGTACTCCAGCACTTGATTGACTCTGTTTATTTTGTCAATTGCAATCACGGTGTACAACACCTCAGCTAAACGCCTCCGCTACCTTCTCAGCTGCAGGAAATGCATCCCCTGGCCCACTCAACCTTTCACAATACAGTAGTTATTTACCCCTTGTTTTCCACCTTACTGTTTGGAAAATTTGGTGAGACGTCAAATTGCCTATTAACTGTACTCAGGTTGCAAGTTAAGAGTTAATTTGTTTCAGTTTTACTTAAACCTTTTCTATTCTCAATCTAGAATTAATTGCCTTTTACCACTGTTTGAATGTTTTACTTTATCCGTTTAAGCAGCAGACTTTTTTTTCTGAGTGCCTACACTCTGGAACTCAAGATAAAGATCCTAAAAAGATCAAAAAACCTGTTCTTTTAATGTGATTTTCCATTGAAAACACCATGTTTTAAGATCTCTGGTGAGAAATTCCATTTGGCAGACGTTCAGAGATGTATCAAAGGAGCAAAAGAGGGATGCTATAGTTGAGAGAATGAGGAAGGAATCTCTTTCAATTGCTCCTGTAGCCTTTGGGTCCAAATGTAATGAGGTTTGAATCCATCTAATAAATTATTCCTAAACCCAAACCACACTGCAATGGGATCATTTAATTTAATTCCACTTTCCATGCCTGCTTGCCACATCATATAACATACCTTCCAAATATCTATGCTAAAGTGTGAAGGAATTTATAGATAAAAGTGAGACACTTGAAGTTGATCCGTTAAGAGATAGAGAGACAGTGGAGCCAAGTGAGGACTGGAGTGATGGGCACGCTCAAATAGCTGTCTAATTCCTCCTGAATTGAATGAAATACGTAAACACTCCATTGTCACCCATCATAACTGCAACATCTTAATGTAGAAGGAATTCAAGAGCAATGTGCACTCAAATGTCAGAGAGGCTAAATGAATGTTACTCAGTAATGTGCACAGATGAGTTTTTTTTGTCTGAAAGGTGTCAACTGAAGGTTACCAACCAGTGACCACTAGTTAAACTCTGTAAATCTGGTCACAGAGTTTATCCTGTTTGTCGTTAGGCAGTTTTATAGATCAACTGTAATCTGGTTGAAGGACGGCTCTTTAAAACCATGAGATACGCTACATATTGCAGGGCGAACACTCTTTAACTGTACCACAAGAGGTAAGATGATAGGATGCTGCAGAAAAGAGTTTCCTGTTATTTCACCAGACACTCAAGCAAGAGTGGTGAGTTAACCAGGCAAATCTTGGTGTCAATGTCAATCAATTTGTTTGAATATCTTTTTAACAAGAACTTGCTTTCACTTTGCAAATGCAGTCAATCTAGAATAAGTAGCCCTCAACAAAATAAAAGTTGTTTGAACAAGAAATATTGTGCACACTTATTAAAAAAAACAATTTTGGGGGAGGGAACAAGGAACAACTGGTTTAGCTTTGTGTCTGTGATATTGTAGCCTTAACTTTGTGATCACAGCAGCAATGAGAGATACTGATCTTACTGAACTGCTGTCCTGAGCTGCAAGATGTTTCCTGTGATTTGGTGTCAGAGATAAGCAGGTGGGGTCTTTGCAATTGCTTTGCATGTAGTGAGGTCAAATGCCTGAGTACCATTAGCTGATGAGTGAGGGTGATCGAACGGGCAAAAGTTCAGTTGTGTGTTAGCACTTTTTGCTCCAACTGGATTAAGATGGCGACACAGATGCAGGGAATTAAATCAGAATCCTTTTCCCCAAGATCTGTTCAGGTGAAGAAGGCCCTTCAGCCCATCTGGTCTCATCCTATTGGACCTCCCATCACAGCAACAACCTTTTTTAAATTTATATATGATTCCCAGAGTTCTGGCATAAACCACCCTTCCTGGCAGCCTGTTCACAGTCGTTAATTACCCTTTGGGTAAAGAAAAACTTCCTGGTGTCTCTCTTGAAATGATCCTTTTGCAACTCTAGACTATGAACCTCTTGTTCACCCAGTTTCAGTTGCAGGAGCTAAACATTTTCTGGGCCCCGTATTAAGTTTATGCATAATTTCCAGTGGTAAGGATTTTACAAGTAACAAGATTTTAGGCGTGGCAGTAATCCGCAACCTTACATTTTATACATAATGAAAGGTCCAAGCTCCAGTCAGCCTTGATTCAGTGTCAGATGATTTCATCACCCACCTCACCATTCACGCACCTTTCAAACCAACCATTATGGTTTCCCATCGATTTGATAATTTATGTAATTTGCACTTTTGAACTCTGCTTCCTGCCGTACTCTGCGTTTTCAAGATCAGGAACCCTTGTGACTGGCTGTCTTTTAAAACAAATGTTGTTGCTCAGATGTCATTGTTCATACTTCAAAAACTAGAAAGCAAAAAAGAGACCAAAAAATATTAATGTTACGCAGGCAAAAGCAGCAACTAACTTTGTCAGCAATGTCCAAA